GCAATGATGAGGACTGTATTTGATTACTTGCTCTGCTGGGTCGTAAACTCGGAAGAATTTCGAAAATTAGAGTAAAAGCTCTTATAGGAGACGAAGCTTTCGCGCCAACGGGATGCAAACCCACAAGCATTCGCCTTTGAAGCGAGACCGTTACCACTAGGCCACGGTGGCACTGCCGGCAATCGATCAGCAGCGCTTACGAGCCAGACGCAAACTTTGACCACCCAGATCTCGTCTGGGAGGTCCCCGTAGCACTTTTAATCTGCATATTCGTAATCAGCATTCGAGGCTCTATCGATGTACCTAGGTCTCCATTCAAAGTTCCATGGGAAGTTCAAACCATTCCCTTGTTAGAACCAGACCAGAGTCGATGAGAGATATGTATTCCCTATAGGAAAACATAGTTGTTACGAATCCTAAACCTTGATTAGGGAAGAGTACGGAGTGGCACCCCACGACCAGCTACTTCACCGCCCTGTTTTCTCTGTTTCCTTAAATTTTGCCGAGTTCATTGATATGTTGAGTCAATTCAGTGGCAAGAACGTTCCATACGCCAGTTCTCCCTTCTGTGATTACTGCTTTTCGTTCATCTTTGAGTTCATGGAGAGAGCTGCGACCCATATCCAGCATAACTGTCTGAAGATCGAACAGAAATTAAGCGAATATGTAAGTTTTACATACTTATAACGCACATTCCATTGGACAGCCGTGCAATCCACCACAGTTTTTTTTACAATGACCAGGTGAGGTTCTGCATACAGCTATGGCTGCGTTCACACTTTGCGGCACCGTTCACTAACGTTTCGAGCGTCCGGCAGCGTCAGCGACTGGGAAAGCATAGATATCGATCTAGCGTCTTTCAGCGTGCATCAGCGTCTCGAGGCCTGGAAAGTATAGGTATCAATCTAGCGTCTATTAGCGTGTGCCAGCTGTCTGCTGCCCTGCTGTTGAGCCACACTCTCCTCTCCCGGACGCTGGTAGACGCTGGTATAGACTAGATTGATGAATATACTTCCTACACTTCAAGACGCTGATGGATGTTGGTAGACGCTGACGAACGCAGGGAGGCGCCCTTCCTGCTGAAAACGCGCCATGGGACAAAAAATTGTAGGAAACGAGAAGTGATACGAAGGATATGATACAGATTGTCACTTGCTTGCGCTTCAACACAATTTAATGAGACGCGAGAACGATGTTTGGACCGCGCATGCATGCCGCGCGACACGCCCGACCGTCCGGAGCGAAGTACACTATACGTCTTAACTTTGGTGTACGCTTTCGCGAATTCATGACATTCACTTCTTGCCTGCTGGGCAGTTAATGGATGACAGCTACAATTACCGCGCGCCGCTTAAAGCTGACGCCGAAAAGGTAATCAGTAAGTGTCACCCTTTGCCGCCAGCTGTTAAGAAGTGTCATATTGTAATCAGGATGGTAAATAACCCTTGTGTACATATTTTCAGCGGGTTTGGCGACTTAGGTAATTTAAAAATGAGCTCGGTGCCGAAGTTGCTGGAGTCCAAACGGCATTAGCCGGCATCGCAGACTAGCAAAATGCCTTCTAGCTGGTTGGCTTCACACATCCGTGCACCGCCATATTAATTCGATTGGCTTCTGATGCGAAGGGCGCCGGTCTGCGGTCTCTTGCGTTTATACTTTGCAATGGCCATTGTGACCCACATCCGTACGCCACCACTGCAATGGCGCTCCAGTGTAGACCAGAACGCAGACGTAGAGGAATTGGTCGGCGTCAGCAGTTTCTTCTTCACTTACGCTTTTTTATCTGTAATAGCCCCACCTACACTCAGAAATCCTAAGTAGGATTAGGGCGCGGTGTACTTCAAACTGATCGGTGGAGGTGGCTCTGCCCTCTCATGGGGTAATTTGGCTTCTGGGACAACTGTAACTATGTCCTTGTCCAACCCAAAACAAGATGACAGTTGTTTCAAATCAAAATATCCGTGAGTGACCAATCCTGTGCCTCGTCCAAATGCCACGCCTCCTCCGTTTCAAGGATAAGGAGTGGACCAAGATGACAACAGCGTAGAAAAGAATGGATTATAGTGCAACTACCAGCTACTAGCGTAGAATAAGTCATTGAGGGCCTCACAAATTTTCGTAATTGAGTTATGTGGTTGCTTGAGAGCTTCATTTAAATCAAATTGCAGATTGCCTCTGTTTCCGTTGAGCACTATTTGGAGAGGCTTGGCACTGCAATTTCCAGATATTGAACGACGGTAAGTCATGTTTCTTGTTGAGTTTGACGTTTTCGGAAAGAGAGCATGCGCCTGAAAAAAGCGTAGACATTACTGAAGGAGCTTTATCTACCACCACATTAATCCGAAACCTATTATTTGTTGGCCTAAAAAGATCAATCCACGTGTTCGAGCGCTTTGTATTCATAACAGAATAGCCGTCTGAAGCGTGGCGAGCGGTCGCACGGCGCTAAAAGCGAAGAAAGCTAGGGAACTGTAATGAGACACTTCCGTTCCCCATGTGGAAGCCTCCCCGATAAGCAGAATCTGTACGACTGCTAACACTTGCACCAAAGCGCACTACCGTAGGAAAAGTTGGGTCAAGTTCAAGCCTTGGCACGGACTGCGCATTTTGCCCATACGTCAGCTGCCTTGTGTCGACTTTTGTTTAGCTATTTGCAGCCAGAAAAGAAAAGTTCTTATGATGAAAAATGGAATAATCCCAGTAATTTTGACCGTTTCAGCAATGCGTAATCTCCGCTCGACCATGACAGCGATGCGTGAAATTGAGCAGCAGATAGAACGTCTGCAAATATCGGTGGTCAGTTGAATTTGTTAACGTATATGCATGAACGTTCGAAATCCGATCTGGTAGGCGTGGCTGCGTACTTCAAATGAAAGTGGTGGTGGCTGTGCTTCTAATTGGAGATATTTTGGATTTTGGCACAGTTGTGGTCGTGCGCTGTCCAACCGTTAACAAGGCGACCGTTACAGTCATCATCCGGGCTGTTGACAAGGCGGACGTGGGAGGGTCGCAGACACGGTTGCGGAGCGACCGCATCACCTAGGAAGTATTGGATCAGCTGTTTCCCGCCTGCTTTAGCAATTTTCTCCATAATTTTCACTATGTTCCATTTTTTTCTCAGAGAATGTTGTTTTCTGTCTTTATGAAGTTTATTAGGACGTAGATACTTTTTGTTTTTGTGATGAAGTTTTTTGCGGTTTTTTAGGTACTTGTTTAATTGTTTAACTGTTCGCAAATATTAGAGAAGTCTCAAAAATACTTTACCTTGTGAAGAAAAGGAACAATTAACCTTGAGAAAAGCGGCCCAAAGCAGTGGAACTTTGGAAGAAAATGACTAAACCAGGCCGGAAACAGCTGATCGCCGCTAGCAGTTCCTACGCACGCGGTCGCTGCTGCAGTCGCGTTTGCAACCCTTTGACGACCGCATCAACTGCTCGGATAATGACTGTATCTCAAAAATATCCCACGTAACCCTTATAATGTGTGATGTCAAATTGCCCACACTAGCCGTCTCACGATGAGAGATAGTTCTATCCTGAATGTTCTGTAGCAGGCCCAATTTCAAAACATTTCTCTTTGAGGCAGAAGCTAAGACATCGTCTATGCTGAGAATTCCTGAGATGCAGTACGAAATGGAGTCCAAGCGAGACAACGAGATTGACGAGGGATAGCAGGTAGCAACTATGCTTCCTAGCCATGCCTTGCCTATTACATTACTCGAATCTTCTTACTTGCCTAACATCGCGTAATTCTCGTAGCACGGTAATGATGAGGCGCCACAAGCTGGCGAACCGGTGAGCTCCACTCCTCCACAACTGTTTGCGCCCACCGCGTGGACCCCATCAACTACAGATGTGCCGCTGTTCTTGCATAACCTCGAAGCATTGTTCTACATCTTGACACACTGTTATGTTAGTTTTTTTTGTTGTTTGTTGTAACGTTTCCTCATAACCTCGAAGTATTTCCGGTTTCAGCGTACTGGTATGGAGAGTGTTTCTGTTACGTCGTATTGTTACCACTGACATTTTGTTTTGATGTTGTCATATCAGTTTCCGAATGAACTTCATGGAGAGGAATCGTTGAGAAGCAAAATAACGCATGGCAAAGCGAATTCTCGAAGTCTCTGCTTCCTCGGATGCTCTCTGAAGCATATCTGAGCGCTGTTGTCTGGCGTGTCTGCGACGGTTAGAGTCAAGTTACAGCTGTTAGGAATGCTCCTACACCAGATGAACTAACTTTATACACAATATAGAATGTGTGGATACATAATATCACGCTATGTCTACTGTAAATATATAGCTCTTTCGACATTGAATTAGCAAAATGCGAACTTTTCGAAATTCTACCACTACTGAAAACTTGCCAGATTCTACCACTACTGAAAACTTGCCGGATTCTATCACATGTCTTCTACATAACTACGACTTCACACCAAATAATTTTTTTTCAAATATCATATACAATAAGTTTGTCAGAATTGCTTAAAGACAGTTTCCGCGATCAAGTGGTCGCGAATCCCTCCGTTTCATTTGCGCACGTTGTCCGCATTTCAGAGAACACAATACCACTTCTTCACTCGGAACGGAAGAAGCTGAAGTTGCGCAGATTATAGCAACCATTTGGCAACCACATTACTTTCACTCTGCGCAGGACAAACGGCTTGTTACACATAGCGTTGCTAGGAGTAGCGTCGTAGCGTTACTTATTGTGCTGCTTGTTCGGAAAATCTTCGCATGTCGAATTCTGCTGAATGGGCTTGCCGACGACCGACAAACTCGTTCAAGGCGCCCGGTCCCACTGTTGAAGATGTCTCAGAGTGTTCCCAAAGTTTTTTTTTGCTTCTTTCTCTACTGGGAGTTTACGGGCTACAGGTTCATGATTGGGCACCTACTACCCGTAACACTTAATCGCGGGAATCGTCTTCGAGTATTCGAGTCTTTGCAGAAACTACAGTGCCAGATTAATTATATAGAAAAAGTGGTTTTAACAGTATTACATTTTCAATCGCTAAAAATATCAATCATAGGTTTCGGTCCTTCTTGAGTATTGGAATAAGCTGTTTCAGTGGACATTTGCTCGTATGCAGCTCGACGTTGCGAGACCGGGACCAGCTTGAAGGGCTTGTCGGAGTGAGCATCTCCCTGAATTTAGCAAATATTGGTATTCATAGTGCAGGAAAGTTTTCTGACTTCCTTGCACCGCAAAATTTTTAGAACTACCTCTTCAAAAAATGTGATTAATACTACTGCATTACTGAATCGGTTGCGAGATCCACAATGTGGCCATGAGAGGTGTCACCTGCGCGGCATTCGCGTCAGTCGGTTTGATGAAGAGCGCTTACAGTATATCGAGCTAAAATTGAGTAGGGCATAGGAGGAGCTCGTCTAAGCAGGAGGGTAACCTGCGAGGCGCAGCTCAAAGATATTGTCTTTATGCGGTCAAACTTTTCTAGCGCTCTGCATCGTGCAGCGAGTCGAAGAGTGCGACGAAGTAAGCGTTGCAAGCGAGGTGAGTCACGTACGCAGAATTCGCACCAGGGACCCATTCCACGCAAAGTAGCAAGGTTGCGGCGCGCGTTCGCTCTCTCGATTCTCTGCGCGCCTGCGTCTCTAATTATGACTGGCTCTGTTCCACTGGTTTACGTAATATCTTGAACTTTTGTGCATTGCCTGCACGAAATCTTGTGACGCAAGGCGGGAGAGCGCCGCCGGCTCCAAAGCGCTTCGAAAACTCGCAAAAACAAAACGCATTATAGCGAGCCAGGAAACGGGCTTTGGCAAGGGGAGGGGACTCAAGGGTGGGTGAGCTACTTATAATCGGTGAAAAGCTGAAAATATGCTAAGTCACAACGGTCATAGAGTGCAATGCGGACGAGAGACTGCAGGAGAAAGAGAGAAAAACGACCGCTTCAGAGGGGATTGAGCGTTCAAGTTGGTTCGTAGACCGGCTTTCCCTGTGTCTACGTCTGTCAGATCAACTAGCTAGGAAATACTATGCAACGGGCGCGATGCCGCGATTAACGCTCCACACCCAGTCTAAGAGCGCTATTTTCAGCTCCCTTGAAGTGCGACGAAGTAAGCGTTGCAAGCGAGGTGAGTTACGTACGCAGAATTCGCACCAGGACCCATTCCACGCAAAGTAGCAAGGTTGCGGCGCGTTCGCTCTCTCGATTCTCTGCGCGCCTGCGTCTCTAATAACTGGCTTTCCCTGGTTACGTGACATCTTGAACTTTTGTGCATGGTCCTGTTACGAAACCCTGTGACGCAGACGGATAGAGGGCAGCGGCTGCCAAAGCATCGAAACGTGCAAAAAACGTATGGCGAGCCAGGAAACGGGATTTTTCAAGGGGAGGGGACTCCGGGGTGGGTGAGCTACTTATAGTCGGTGAAAAGCTGGAATGTGCGAAGTCACAACGGCCATAGAGTGCCATGCGGACGAGAGAGTGCAGAGAAAAAGAGAAGATCGACGCGTTCAAAGGGATTGAGTTCAAGTTGTCCGTAGACCGGCTTTCCCTGTGTCTACGTCTGTCAGGTCAACTAGCTAGGAAATACTATGCAACGCGCGCGATGCCGCGATTAACGCTCCACACCCAGTCTAGCGACGCTATTCAGCTCCCTGAGCAGTCAGAGGGACAAGCAGCGAGTGGACAAGTGAACGCGATTAGCGTAAGAGAAAGTGCATCACCGGCCCTCTGCCTGGACAGAATCTGTCCTTTGATGCGCAGCTACTGCCGCGCTCACATCTGAGCACGCTTATACGCCCCTTGGTAATAAAATTCGCTTACCTTGTGATACTCATGTTGATGTAGATGATGTTCATGGTCCATGCCTACATGATGGTGAGCATGCTGATGGTGCATGTCGTGCTCATGCTGGTGTCCTGTATGGTGAATGTCGAGATTGTTGTACGGTAACATTGGAGCTACATAGTGAGTACCGTGGACCAAAGCTGGAGCGTGATAATGAGGCTGAACGTGCATTAGATGGCTGCAACAACAGCACGGAACAACAGCTGCATGATAGGAGGGAAGTTGTATAGGTGAAGTGGGCGACTGAGCGGTAAGGTGCATCTCACGTTTAGCTGGCTGAAAATCGATAAATTACTGTTGTTCAACCAAACTCGGATATGTGTATTAACATGTATGTCGACCTGCAAGGATGCAGAGTAAAATCTGGTTAGGCATAGTGGGGGTTCTGATTGGTGAATGTAAGTGTTCTACCACTTGAGAGACGTTAGTCGCTAGCTTTCTAGGCCCCTGTCGAATCAGAGGCCGTTTGCACCGTATATCCCTGAGTTGGGGAGGGCGTGCCTACGTATTTATTTGATCGTTACAGCGCTCACGCATCTAATTCGATATTTTCGTTTGCGCCAATTTGCTCATATCTTTTTCTTGCGCAAGATAGCATGACAGTTGTCTCATATAGAAACATCCCGCGCAAAACACATCATGTGCCATGTTCCGCAGCCACGCCCTTTACATCCTCGGGATATAGAGGGTAATATGAGTGCGACAAGAAATGTAGAATTTCCGGTATTGGAACCTAATGAAGTGCATCAAAGACTTCTTGGTTGCCATGTCGTTAATCCTAAGAGGGTTGTTCTCAGAACGTCAACGCAGCAGCCGCTGTAGGCATTGACTGCCAGTAATACTACTATCAGACAATGCCTCCTTTTTCAGAACAGAGCGACTATGCAGTACTGAGAAGAAAAGGTGTAACTGCCTCTGTGAATTGTTCACATAAACTTACAACTGGAACCTGAACAGGCGCGACCGGAAGCGGAGCTGATAGTGCTGGCACATGAGAAGTAGACACATGGGTTACGGTACGCTGTTGCACAGTAGCTTCCACCTGAAAATTCTCATAACTTTGAAAATGAACTGTAGCTTTCACAGTGCTAAGGCGGCTGGGAGAACGGGAGGGAACCTTGCGAGAAGGAGCTCCGCCCACAGCAGTTACTCCGCCGCTCACCCCTCCCCCCAAGTGCCAACCTCAATTGCCGTTGTTTCCATATTATGATTACTCATCTCTCTCTCCATGCAAAAGCGGGAGTGATGTAAATGCGAAGTGAGGAATGCGTGAAAAACTCTGATTCCAGGATCGAAGTACAGAAACACATGAATTTGTTCAGCGTAGGAAATCCTGGAACGAGCGAGAAATGGAATCTCGTCAAACTCATTCCCACCCCTTTATGGGAGCGAACTATGGGGGCCCGATCTCAAAGCTGCAATAAACGTGGCCCCTTTCGTCATTCCGCTCGTGCTCAGGTTCCCGTCTACAAAGCTGAACTACTTGTTTTCCAGGTTTGAAATTCTGATTCTACATTTCTCACCAGTTTGCACATAATAACTCACCTTAGGGTAGTGCTGGACATCTGTTTTGACGACGGTCTGCCTGAAAAATGGTTTTTTGATAAATGTAATATTTTTTGGCCTGTTAAACTACTTACTTCTTCTGAACGTGTTGCACTTGTTGATGAGTCTCAGCGACATTTGTCCTTGGCAAAGCCTGCACTGGAGCGGCTACCTTCTGCTCCTGCACGGTTGGAACAACAGGACTTCTTGGTGAAAGTGGGGACGAAATGACTTCTGTCGAATCGAAATCCTGAAATGTTTCCAGTACTTTGGAACTCATCAAAACCTTAGTATAGGGGGTCCTTTGACACCAAAATCACCCAACCCAATCCTACCCATTTTCTTTTCTTTTATTAAGCTTTCGCCAAAAAAGGCGTCGGGCGGGACCGGCTAGGGAGGAGGGGTCGCCCTGAAACAAATACCACAATCTATTATAAGAATTAGGGTGTATAGTAGTACTGCAGCACCGCCAATGGGGGAGGGAGGCGGGTGGGTGGGACAACGGGTGCTGTGCCCTGCATGCACCACCGGCTAGGCTGCCTTTATACTTTGCGGCAGCGTAGCGTAGCGCTTCCAGCGTTTCACCTAGCGTTTCGCTAGCGTTTGCCTTACATGAGTTATATAGAGTTAGGCGAGTTACAGGAAGCTCTCCTTACGCGCTTTAGGAATAGAAGGATTAGGAAGTAGTACATAAATGCTACTTATTTTTTGGTTCCCCTGAGTGAGCTATTACTGTATCTTCCCTACTCTTACTTATAACTCTCTAGCCCCCTTTTCCCTCTCGCTATTTGCAAACGCTCCTTACTCTCTCTTTATCTACGCTAAAGATGTAATCGAAGAGTAGGTAGAATTTATGATACTCTCTACTCTTCCACCACTCTCTAGCCCTCCGCTGCAATAGCGCTAGCGAAAAGCTAGATGAAGCTAGTGAAACCCGTGCGCTAGCGTACGCTAGCGTACGCTGGTGACGCTGGGAACGCTAGATCGATATCTATCCTTTCCCCGACACTGCCGCTGGCGTACGCTGGAAGCGCTACGCTACGCTGCCGCAAAGTATAAACGCAGCCTTAGGTCTTCAAGGCCACAGAGACAGAACACATGTACAAGCTATTAAATTTTTCATTTAACCTTTCGCCCGTAGACGTTGACGAAATCACGAACGTTCCTTACAACTCTAATAGAGTTGAACTTATCCGCGTTCTCTTTACGAGGCATACGTGCCACAGTCACGGGGTCAACTGCTGGAGCAGCCTTGGCTAAAAAAACATAATTAGAATCAAAATACACTTAATTCAAGTCATATCTAGCGATTACGTAATACTGCTGGTATATTGTGAGGCTGAACAGGCTGTGGAGTGTAGTGGTGAACAGGAGATGCCTTATACTGCTCAGTAGGTGGACCAGCCCTGGCCTGAGGCTGATATGCATGCGTAGAGACCACCTGGGATCTTGTATCCACAACATTTCCACCAACAGTCGTCTGAAAGCAAATAATTTAAGTAGGTCAAATTCATAACTTCAGAAGTAAGGCCTTGTTCGGTGGAGGAGGAATTTGACTTGTCGCCAGCCCGTTCTCCGCTAGTTGTTGAAGCGGGTAAGCGACAACCATTGGGGGAAACGGCTGAATACGAATGATATGATACAGTCTTGTAGCGTGCCTAAAGAAAAAATGACAAGAAACGGGCTGGCGCTGCGTCAAATCCATCCCACCTGACACGCCCAGCATCCGCAGCGAGCAAACCTGTAACACAGCTGTACTCACCGTGTGGACAACTTCGTCAATACGATGGATGGATGTGGTTCGTTTGTGGGTCTTGTGCTCTTCGACATTATCGGGCTTGCGCAGCTTGACTGCACCTCCAAACACGTTGGTCAGCTCGGAGACGCTTAGTTGATTTTCATCCACAGATTCTACGCTATACTCCGATGGTTCGTAGACGTATTCAGCCTGCTTGTGATGGTGGTCGTGATGACGATCGTGATGGTGATCATGATGATGGTCGTGCTCATGTTGATGTTTGTGATGGTGACGGTCATCATAAACTTCAGTACGGTAATCACGATGTTCATGACGCTGATGCTCATCATGATGCTTGTGACGATGATCAGCACGACGCTCATGGTGATGACGGTCATCATGATACTCTCCGCGATGATAATCTTCACTATGTTGGTGGTTGTGATAATGATCATGAGCAACTTCGTCGTGACGGCGATCATGAACATGTTCTACACGAGCCTCAGTCTTCTTAGTAACGTGCTGCTGTTGGTGTTCAACATCAGAATCATGATGATGTGCCTCGTTATGGTCCTTATGCTCGTAATGATGCAGGTTTGCGGTATTCTTAGAGACCTTGCGTGGTTCTTGGTAACGCAGTTCATGGAATTGATGGTAATGAGTTTCGCTGACCGGTACAGGCGGCAGAACGTGCTCCTTGTAGTTGCCCTGAGTGGCTGTCATTTAGTTAAGTAAGTAAAACACAAAGTTAAACTGAAAGCTGCCTAAAAACACAAAATTGAAGTGAAAGCTGGCTGATAACGGAGCTTACATTGTCATCCAGACTCTCGAAAATGTTGATCTCTTTGTGTGGTTTCTCACGTCTTTCATCATTGTACTGACCCGTCTCGAGCTTTTGGAGGAGTTGTTTCACAACTGAAAATGTGAGTTATTACCGAGGACCATAGTAAGCCGCGTACTGCAAGAGTAATCCATAATCCCTCTGTCCATACTATAAACCACGCTGAGTTCCGTTCTACTGTAGGGACCTTTATAATTCGATACATCGCAGAGAGGGTGCAAGTAACGTCGCCTACCGCTCGCATGGTCCGGAGCACAATTCTCAGATCGACTCCCACCCGAAATAACCGAGCCGTCTCTTCTTTCGGGTCTGTAGCTGGTACTTGGGTAGGAAAAACACTGACTTGTATTGAAGCTTGATTTGTTACGCAGACTGCAAGTTTAAAGCCGCAGTTCGCGCTCAGAAAGTTTTCAGCAGAATGTGGTTATCACAATATTTTTGAGATAACTGACTTGCTCTTCGACTAGCCCGCAAAACTCATTCCCAAAGCCTAGCTCATTGAAAATGCTACCATGATCCTAAATGGAAGTAAGCGCGTGGCGTATCCCAGAAAGGGACTGACTAGCTTTGCGAGCTCCATCCTTTCAAACTAATTTGATGAGCAACTGAAAATGTTTGAAACACCAATCTTGGTGGTTTTTTACAGTTCACTTAAGGGGGGGGGGGCGACAAATGGCATTTTATGTCCAGCGACTTTTGCGTTTCCCGTACCGACCTTTCTCTCTTATACGGACAGTCATGATTCCTGCAAACGATAGGGCGTATGACGAGAGCGTGGCTTGGAGTGAGCCAGGGCAGATTCTCCACCTCTTGTATTAGACTGAGGATGGCATCATTGATGGAACACGGCCGCTTTGGCAGCGTATCGAATACGCGCCGCGTCACACGCCCTAGCGTTTGCAGGGTCATGACTGTGCTTCACTGCCTCTTTTATTGTAGTATAGCAGTCTAGCGCCAGCACTCCAGTCAAGTGAGCACAGCAATCCTTTCCTTGCGAGTGTGCTCATCATAAAAAATTGTGAAGTCTTACTTACCTCCACTGTTTGGTGGAAGATCCACATTTGGCCGCTGGCTGTGACGAACCAACGTCGAATGACCAGAAGAATGCATTCGAGTTCGAATCTCAACTTCATTCGTGTCACGACGTAGGCTCGTGTCCACAAGAAGAGGTGATTCACGATGATGATGGTGATCCTTGTCGTACACCGAGCGCGTGTAGTACGATTGGTCATTAGAACGCTGTAAATGAGAGAATTTAGTTCTTGTATGTTTGGAAATTTATAAGATCAGCGTGTTAGGAACCGACACCCACTGACCACTCCCGTATTCATTTGATGAGTATGACTTGTAGAAGTGGGAGTGTACTCGTAGAAGTGGGCGGAGTTATCCGTGAGCACTGTGTCTCGCATAATCTCACGAATCATCGGTTCTACCACATGCTTTATTAGTTCCTCGCTTACATCATCATGACGACGCGTCTCTACAGGACTTGCATACGGATCATAGAGTTTATTGGTAGTGGTAGTGGTAGCTGTAGTGATGATGCGATCATTTGAGGACTGACGACGCTCCGGTTCATGGTAGGCCTGAAACCTGATAGGTGAAGTTTTCTGCAGCATTATCTTACCCTATATTTTTACTTTTCGCCAAAAGGCTGCCTTTGAAGCCTGAAGCGCTCCTGAGACAGGGCACAGCATCGCTGACAGAATCCCATCGAGGAGGTCGTATTTGGTCTGGGGAGGTCAAGCTGGGGGCTAGCTGGTCCATGAAGGTCAGATTCTGCCTTCAAAGATTTTTTTTGATTATCGATTTTTCCCCTTTCACGTGCGCCATAGAAACTAGATGGGAAAATTTAAGAATGGTGGGTGGGATAAGAAGGTGGGTCACACTATGAGAAGAGATTCGAAGGAAAAAAATCACACCACTTCACACATCACGATGGCGCTCTGCACGCGCGAGGTGCACGCGATTGGATTAGTCAGTCCAGCCACCAATCACGTCCACTGCAGCACGCACCATCAACCTAAGTGTAATAGTAGATGTCTTTATCAAGCTATTACCTCGTACTCATGCTTCCTCATGTCTGAATCATGAAGATGTGCTGCGTCGTCCCTCTCATGAACGTATTCCACATCTTCAAAGGTGAACTCCTCGTCACTCTGAATAGTAAGATCGATAAGGGCACCAGCATCGTATCAAGCACTTTTTGTGTCCCTTGCGGGACTTTGCAGGACCTTGCAGGACTTCCTATTGCCCATAATCCTGACCGCACTCGTCCCACCTCATCGATTTCACGGTTTTTCCACTGTTCTCTTGGTATCTACGAAGCATTTACACCTTCAAGTGAAAAGAAGCAAAGCTTTCTGTCAGCCTGAGCTTGTAGTAAGCTCGGAGTAACTTTGAGCGGATCCCATCACGGTTCGCAGAGGGTTCAATATTTACTGTAGATACTTTTTTCCAGCATATCTGGAGAGAGAGTCAGCTCTAATTGTAGGTCTTTACCCTCTGATGGTGATCCGGTCACTTCCCTCAACACACAATACGCACCTTGACTACTGTAGTAATTTAATAGCGTACTTTGAATCCTCTTGCTTCATGCTTGTTGCTGTTCAAAAGCTGCTGTGCAGGAACCCAGTTCTAGTGTCAGCCTAACAGCCCAACGGAAACGGCAAAGGCGCGTGCCTGATTTACCCGAGCGGTGGCGCCTCTTCTTAGTCGAATGAACGCAGGTGTGCAGCCGCTTTCACTGTGATACCTGAGAAGCCAATCAAAGGTGTGCGCCAGGCGCTAGCGGCTTGGATAAGTGAGAAATCCCGCCCATTCTGGAATTTGTTGTTGCGACGTGGCGGTACGATCAATTATTTACCCCTAGCGTGTGTGGCTGTGTTGCCCTAGCCCTCACTAACTGGTCGTCCCTGTGTATTTGTGCTTTGTTCGTTGTCAGTCGGGTCCTATTTGGGACGGCTTCTTGTACTCCTTTCTTTACAGATAGGTCGATGCATCCATAAATTAACTGCTGAAGAACACTGCCTGCTCTTCAGTATTGCGAAGTGTGTTTTCAAGAAAAATAAGCTATACATCGTTGCGATGGTGGTTGTGTGACTCTCTGCGATAGTCCTCATCGTACTGACGTGACTCTCGTCGGTGATCGTCGTCATGATGTTCTTCATAGTGATGCTGCTGTAACTCAGCTTGAGCTTTTTCCGACGCGATCATTCTCAGAAGTGGCTCAAAACCCAGTTCTCGGTACTCCAGAATTTCAACCTCGTCGGGGCTGTCCTGAAACTCATGCTTCAGTTTGTTCCAAAGACACATTCCACGATGTCTGCATGGGGGGAAACTGGCAAGTGACATGTCTTCTTCGTTGGCACGCCAATATGATGAAGAGAATGGACGCGCCAGTGAGGAAAAGCACTATGCTTCCGAGTCTCCGCCCACCCGATTATCGCGGAATGTGTTTGCAATATTGGTGCAATGTTTTTCCAATACAGAAGGGAACGATCTCCTGCTATGGCTCAGTTTAGCAGGAGTATGTAACACAAACTGGATAGTGTCGTTTGAATCGAATTGGTAGTGAGTGACTTTGATAGGCGTTGCTTCTTCAGGATGATCGTGGTGCGAATGGTCTTCCTCAGGTTGCACGGAAGATGCCACAGACTGCAATGTTCGTTCCTCACACCACTCTATTATTACTTGCAATGAAATACAACATGGGTTCTTTTGATAGAGTAATATTTGAGGTCGTGGGTTCACATGGATGTACAATCATGACCACTGCAATGGTACTTCGTGTGACGGAGCGTGAATTGGAGCGCAGTCAGGGCAGCCTATTGCGGCAATTGTTGTGGGCTCAGAATGACATCATTGGTCGCCCTGGCCGGCTCGGATCCACGCCCCTCAGGCCCCCTCGTTTGACGGGATCATGGTTGTAACTGCAGGCTGCTATTTTATCTAGATGCCACAAGGACCGCATCATTTGCCTCAAAGTCTACTGCACGCCTTCAGGTGCCACTGTTTTACGGATAGCACCCAGAGATTGAGTGTGTGGCGCATCCCATAGCCGAGTTGACCAACCCCAATCACTGCAACTCTTTTGAACGACAAGTGGAGGATGTGTTTTGAATGCATACCGAACGTTTCAGAAGGAAGTATGGGTAATGAAGTGGAAGGTTCTCACTAGAGGAAGTAACTGAAGAAGAAGCTCCTTCTCATGGTCATCATAAAGATGCTGAGTTACGGGCAAAAAGCAGATGCCAGGCGGTACTCGAACCGGCGCCACACGCTTACCGGGCGAGACCTCAATAACCTTAGAGCAAATAAATGCACTGGTTCTGCGCAAATTTACCATTTCCGAGCTTATTGTTAGACATAGTAGAGTAGCATCAACCTCCTATGAACATTTCGATGAATTTTTAACTAACGTGTCTAGCTGATGCCATCGTAACCAGTCAGGAGTCATATCAAGCCCACCACCGGCTGTTTTTGTACTAATAGTAACAGGTCAGTTACCGACTGGGATGAAAGTAACCACTGCTAGAGACGTCGCAGTTCGGCTCATTCCATGCCTCTTGACATCTCCGGACCGATCACAACGATAAAGTGTACCTTCCACCTGAACGGGGCTACTCTGGCTTCACTGGAACTACACTGATTGCAACTGACTGCCCCCACCCCATTGATACGTAGCCTGTTAAATAACTGGTGCCACTTCATGGCGTATAACATCGTTCCTATCATTGCCATGATTCAGTCACCAAAGTGCCCCTCTCCCAAGGTAATAAGCGCCCATGAAACTTCAATGCTAAATCATCGGGAACATAAAGCGCTCCGATCTCATAACATAACGCAGCTGCAGCAAGCACAGCTAAGTGATGTTCCCTGAAAAGTTCCCAACTCCATTCGGAGGGACCTAAATGGGACTCCGATGGGGGAGGGATGTCACACGGATGGGGGAAGTTTCCCTAATGCCATGCTTAACCGTACTGCCATCAATCCACCTTC